AAACACATGAAATATATATAAAACAAATCTTGACCTGGAAAACAAACTTGTAGGTTGATGCAATTCAGGCTTGCGGGGGTCAAAAGACGGCTGATGGCAGCCGTCACCGAAACGGTGGTGGCATATTATGGAACATCATCAAAGCACGCGACCCGAATGCTTACAAAGAGATCATGACAAAAGGGAAAGAGTTTGAGGTGAGTTTGGTTTTTCACATAAAGTTAGTTATTCATTGTAAAGTTGTAAAAAGAATCAGCAAAAATTTTACATTTATGGTTTTTTCTAGTTAAGTGGTATACGATTTGGTGTTAAGTTGTTGAGTTTGTAGTTTGTAGAAGTTGACGACTAACTTTTTGGCATTGATGTGTGTTTCAGAAGCAAATGAAGCAGCCAGGATTGAAGCGGCAGAGTGAAGGTTCTTCTCAAAAGGACGAGCAGGTGACCTGTGACCCATCACATGGTGTGGAGGTTGAGGAGGTGAAGGGACAATTGAAATGTGGGTCGGTTCATGATCGTATAAGAGTGCCCGTCTCATATGATGATTTGCTTGGTGAAGTAGGCCCTGAAGATACAGATGCCTAACGAGACTATGCATGAGATGGTCACCTTTTTTTTTTTAACCTTATGATGTCTCGTGGACTTTTTGGCGCTTTTGATTAAGTATTGCCCTTTTTTCTTGTCAAATGGAAAATGCCAAGACCTGAAAATCTTTTTCGAAATTATACTATTAGTCGCATAGCATTTCTCCAATCATAAAGTAATGTATCTTATGTTTCAACACGAAAAATCAAGCAGTTGTCCGCCTAAACTTTGTAAAGAGAAGATGAAAAATTGGAAAAGATGGAATTCCGATTTGTAGAGAAAAGGAGACAATTAAATCATTATCATGTCATTTTTCAAAGTCACGCGAACTTCTCTATTACGGAGTTGTGACCTATTGGTCATATACGTAGATAGGTTTGTGATTGTTTCATTCGAGTATTGAATAGGCATATCATCGTCCTCTTCTTCTACTCCATTTCTTCTGTTCTTTCGTTGTTGTCTTCGTTCGTTTGTAGGTCTATCGTTCATAAATTCTATAGGATCATAATAATTCAAGTAGGCATCTCGTTCATCTTCTACTATCATGGTGTGCATGATGATACAAGCCATCATAATTCTTCCCATAAAAAGGATCACATACTAGACATGGTCGTTTGATAAATGCAAAACGAGCTTGTAGAACATCAAATGCGCGCTCAACATCTTTTCTAGCCGCCTCTTGGTGCTGAGCAAACAACTTGTGCTTTCGAAGTTGCAGAGAAGTAATTGATTTAACAAATGCAGCCCATGAAGGATATATACCATCAGTGAGGTAATATATCATATTTCTTTGTTGACCATTAACAACTTAGCTAATTTTTGGTGCACGACTTTCCAAAGTATCATAAAAAACAGGAGATTGGTGAAGTACATTGATATCGTTGCACGAACCTGGTGTTCCAAAAAACGCATGCCATATCCATAAGTCATATGATGCAACAGCTTCTAAAATAATTGTTGGTTTTTCACTTATTCCTGTATATTGCCCAGCCCATTCTCTGTAGGATAATTTTTCCATCCCCAATGCATGCAGTCAATACTTCTCATCATTCTTGGGAATCCACGTTGCTCCCCTACATGAAGTATTCTTGTCAAATCTTGTTCATTAGGCCTTCTGAGGTATTGGCCGCCGAAGTTAGAAATGTCGCCTTCTACGAATTTCATGAGAGATTCCCTCGTTACAGCTTTACTTATTCTCAAGTATTCATCAATATCATCCGCTGAGGTTCCATAGGCCAACACCCTTATGGTTGCAGTACATTTATGCAATTTTGAAATGCCCAGCTTACCAGTGGCATCACGCCTTTGTTGAAAATATTCGTCGTTGGTGGTGATTTCGCTCACTATAATTCTTATGCATGCGAAATCCCCGACGAAATACATGTTCAGGATAGGTTGGATTGTCGGAGAAGTAGTCATTGAACAAATTCTCCTCTCCTCTCTCTCGTTGCCTCTCAATAACTTGACTTCTACCTCTAGGAACGTGATTTGTTGGTTGTAAGACCATATTTGGAATACGAACAATCACATCTTCCATAAAACGATCAAATTGTTGATTTTGTTGAATCACTCGTTCTTCCCATTCATCAAATTCGATGAAATTGAAAGTTTCAGAACTAGAACTAAAATTTTCAGATGGGTTTTCAGTTGAAGACTTTTCTGAACAAAAACGAATTGTTACGAAAAACAAAGTTATAATTGATATAAAGAAAATGGATATGAGATGATTTTGATATCAATTTGATCTGAATTCAACCATATTATATAGGAATGTGGTATGAAGAGTTTGGTGTAGATATAACTTAAAATAAAACTAAAGTAAATGTAAAAGAAAAGTAAAGTAAAGTAAATATAAAGAAAAGTAAAGTAAAAGCAAAAGCAAAGTAAAATTAATAAAAGTTGCATGTGAATTCAATGAATGTGAATTTTATTGAATAAAGCTGCTATTTGATAGTAAAATATAAATTTGATCCGAATTCAATGCATGTGAATTTTGGAAGACAAAATAAAGCTGCTATTTGATAGTAATAACTCATACACTATATTCAAAATAGCTCTTGGCCATTTATTTTATATGTGACTATTATACTAGTAGATAGGACAATCATGGAAGTAACATGTGATTTCTGGAAAAGATTAGGTAAAAATACTTACTAAATAGACTTTTATTGAATAACTTGAATTACACGAATTGAAAAGTTTACATCAGAATAACTAAAATGACATAAATGAAAGCTGCATGATAATAAATTACATGACTTTCCAAATAAAATTGTTGTTAAATGACGTTTCATCTCATCATCTTCCAGCGATAAGTGGTCTTTTGCCAACAACGTATTCAACACCAACATATTCATTTTCCTAATCTTCCTTTCTTCTTTCTTACGTTCCAACTCTATCCTATCGTTCCATATTTTGGTCATTAAATCACATTCGTTCTTTCTTGTAAGTCTTAGTGCACGAATTTCTGCAGTGAAGTCATCAGGAATGGAAGACGATTGTGATGCTACCATTTTTCCCTTCTTTTTGGCCATATGTCTACCTTCGGGACGGGGAATCACAAAACCATCACTAACGGGAGTTTCTGCATTTGAGGGAATTGAATAATCTTCATCTTCAGTAGTCCTTGATCATTTGGAACTATCATGGCTTTCTTCATTACTCGCTTCATCTTGAGGGCGTGAACGAGTTGAATCACGATCTAATTTTAATTCCCATTCGGGATGCTTTCGCATGACTTCTTCAAACACATGCAAGTCTGTAAAGTTGCTACCACCAACTTCATAAATTATATGAGCTTCTTTTTCAACAACTTTCATGCTCATTCCGCTCCTTTTATTTCTGTATGCTTCCATGTAAGCACCTCTCCACTTGTTTACATTTTCATTAAGGCGTTTGTAACAACCTTTCATTGAATCAAGTTTCTTTCACCAATTTCTTCTGTATTTTCCAATCGAACTTGCTAAAACATTTGAGTTATGCATGCCCATAATGAAGAACTCTTCTGATTCTTGCCACACATTTTGTCTTCGCTAACGAAACACCAAGCTGACATTATAGCAAGATCTTCTACCATACTCCAACTAACATTTTTCGTTTCTTTTTGAGGATTTGTGCGTGTCTGTTGCACATTTTGAAATAGATTTTGGGAGATGTTTTGTAGGGGTTGGGCATTTACAGAAACTGAAAATTGGGTAAGATTAAGAGAAAATGGCTCTTGTGAATAATTTTCGAAATTCTGAAAATTTTCAGAGTTCGACAAATTTTGAGTATTACTCAAAATTTGGATCCATATAGTATTTGTTGGAAATTAGAAAAAATAAAAGATATGATAAAATTAATAAGGTATGTTTAAAAAAAGGGTGAAAAGAGAAAAATTTCAATTGTGATCTAAAACATATTAAGAGTGGTCTCTATTTAATGAAAAAATACGAATTTTGATATTTTTTTTAGAAAAATAATAAACTCAATAATTGAGTTATCTTATCTTATCACATTAAAATTAAGGTGGCCATTCCTTATCCAATCCAAGCAAGAATTGAAGTAAAAAATAAAAATAAAAATAAAAATAAAAAAACGTCCCAAGGTCGGTTGCGACCCAAGGTCCTAGCGTAATTTCCTGCCTTTTTATTTTTATTTATTGTATTTATTTATTTATTTATTTTGTCTTTTTCCTGGTGACACAACCTAATGGGTCACCGATAAGGATAGCCTTGATACAAAAGTTTCTTATTGTTATATTATGAGGAATTTACATCCATACTACCATATATATTTTATATTACATATTTACACCAAATTTAATATTTATTTGCAAATATACTAAATTCACCCTACTTATTTGCACGTATACCAGATTTTAGTTTTGTTAATTATATATTTTAAATATAGAAGGAAGAGATAATATTCATAGATCCCTAATATCAAGAATTAACCCACCCTTCAATCCGTTCGAAAAAATTATTCAGAGAGAGAAATTGTTGGCACACAGAGAGAAACTGCACGAAGGGGAGATTCCATGGTGTCGGCCCGACCGCACCGCTCTGTGTAGGCCACCGACGCATTCCCCGCCGTGCTTCTCCGCTTCCTCTCCGACGCCAGAGTCACTTTCGTCGGCGCGTGGAACTATTGGGACGCGGAACTGCTGCGCGAATCGCGCCACCGCCTACGGTTTGTGAATGGATGTATAGATCGAGTGATTGGTTGTAATTGAGGATAAAGTAAGGATGTAACACTCACCATTTTTGGGTTCCAAAGAAGGCTTCAGTGCTTGAAATCAACAAAACATGCAAAGATCTAATCTTTTCTTCTCTTTTAATTTGAAGTAAGTATCTTGTGACCCTTTTTCCCAGTTTAACAAGAATTAGAGTTTTGTTTATTTTGCTGGGATTTAAAATCGATGTGTGTGTTGTGGTCTGTTGAAAGTTGAACTACAAATAAGGTTATTGCTTTATGTCTTCGCTTCCTCAGTAACAAAGTAGTTTATAAAATCAATTATCTGACCTCAAAATGTTTAGTATATGTACAGGTAAATTGTAGTTATGTACTGTTATTGTCTTAGTTATGTACAAATAGTTTGTGAATGGATGTTTGTTTCTTCTGTTTTCAATGTTTTATTCATAGTTTATGTTGGGTATATTAGAAGATTTTTTTGTTAGAAAACAAATTTGACAAAGCATAAACTGATTTTTTTTTTTTATATATATATATGTATGGTTTATATTCAGTATATTTTCGGTATATGATAAAGAAATTTATCACTAGACATAATTTTTATGTATAAAATCAATTTATATTTAGCAAAACTAATTGTAACATATACTGAATATATACTAACATAAACTCAATATATATCACCTGACAATTGCTTGAATTAAGAAATTTCAGTTGCGCACATATACTGAATATATACTAACATAAACGCAATATATACCACCTGACAACTGCGTGAATTAAGGATTTCCAGTTGCGCGAATTAAGGAACTAAATGAGTAAGTTATTTATTTTCATTTCTCTCTCTTATGAGTCAACGTTTTAACTGAAATCAAATAAATCTCCAGTTAATTCAATAGTTTTAGGTACATATGCAATTAAACTTATAGTAATTGCAAAATCACAAATAAATCAAAATCTAGTAGGATAGATGAAAATTTCCCTTATATTAATGGCTTAATATTCCATTTTGTACAACAATTAAAATTGGGCTCAAATTTTTTAAATTCATGGCCCAATAATGTTTATTATGTTATATAGTATCAAAACAATTATTACAAATTTTGACCACTAATATTGTGGTATAAAAAATAATCATGTAAACAAGTAAAACTTTGCATAAATTTAATACACATAACAGTGATTTGTTAAATTATAAACTTCAATATTTTTTTGTTTGCTTCATTTTTATGTTTCACAAATGGTTAAAATATTTAGTTTGACATGATTAAATTTATAGGTATTGTGTAACACTTTCGTTCCAAACACCACCAATTCTTACTAATGTGTGTTCTATCATTCAAGAATCGGGTATATATTTTTTTTTTATTGTTGTAAATCTTTTATAATTGTTAAGCATCTGTGTCATTATAAGAAATATTGTTGTTAATATGTTTTTATTTAATTGACTGTTATTTGACCTTTCTTTTTAGGTGTTCCTTTCGTAAATTCTCAACCTTCGTCTCAAAATAGTTGATGATCATAAAAACACGTATTTATAATAAAATGCTGATATTTACACTCGTAGATAAAACACAAATTATCCTCAATAGCTCTTCTCTCTATTATATCATTTTCTGTGCAAATGTATGGGGTAAAACTAGTTGGAAGAATCTATATATATATATATATATATATATATATATATATAAGAATTATCATTTACTAAAAATAGTAGCAAAAAATAGGTCAGAATTTAATACAGCCTATAAATAGTAAGTTTTATTATTTTCTTTAAAAATCAATCAACAATAAATGCTACTTTGAATTTCGGGCTTTAGTTCATTTTATTATTTAAAAAATTCGGCTAAGATTTATTAAGTGTGTATGTTTTTATTTTTATTTTTTCTTAGAAACAACGAACAACATTAAAATCTCGGTCTCTATATTTATAAAATCTCAATTCAAAATAAAACAAAAGTTTTAGAATATAGGTCTGTATGTTTGTGCCTTTAAAAAAAATATTGAACACTAAAAATATTCTTTAAATTGCATATAATCAATCAATTAATCTTAATTTTTTGAAAATTACTATGTTTATTTTTTATTAATATGCATAAAGTAAAAATAATTAATTCATCTTTAGATATATAATTTATAATATTAATATACTATCATTTTCTTTTTTAAAACAACACCCGGGGGGATAAAGCTGAACCCCTAACCTGTATATAAAAGGCCCGAAATGAGTTGAAAAGTCACAGAGCTACAGATCGATGTCTAAATAAACAACTGTCCAAATGAACATATACTATCATTTGGTGTAGACATTTATTATATGAATCATAAAATATTTTTATTTCATAAAATTAAATATATTTAAAGAAAATAATAAAATTTCTTCGGATCAATCGGGTGATAGAACTAGGGTACTGCCCAGGTTGATTGAATTACTTTTAGGTGATATTTAAAATAGTCCAAAACTTGACACAACTTGGTTGGTCCCAGGTGACTAAGTTATGTATCAGTTCGACCACACCAAATCGATTATTGAACATACATATAAATTTTATATTACAAATATTTTATTACGTGAATGTGATGTAGTCTAAACTTCAAATAATCGTATTAACAATACTTTTATGACAACATGTTTAATGATTTATGAATATTTATATACCATTTTATTAATATTTATGTGAATTAAATAATATTTTATTATAATATTTATTAATATACAGTAAATATAAGGTTTTCAAAGTTGGATCGTCATTGAAACGATCGAGCTATTTTATTAAATCATTTGTGGTTTGTTCAGATTTTAATTTATAAATATTTTAATATATATATATATTACTTTTTGTAATAAATTTAAATAAAATGTGTTACTTAGATATCTAAACAATTTATAAATTCAAATGTTTAAACTAATTGATAAAAATTTATAAAAAATCACTATTTTATTTAAATATATAATTTTATTTAAAATAATTTTAAATATAAAAAAAATTAATTAGAAAATCGTATCGATCCTACCAGTCCAACCGACTGGTGTTTACGGATTTTACAGCAAATATTTTATTCAAACGAACTAGGCTGGTTATAAACCGGTTCTCCGTCCATCCGGTCGGACTGTCTCCAACCTGGTTTAACTTAAAAACAATGAATAGATCATGATTAATGTTATTTATATATTTAATATATAATACAATCGTAATATTATTTTTCCGTGCATCGCACGTGCCACGCACTAGTTATAAACAACAAGAAATAAAAAACCGCCATGTTCGAACATAAATCTCGTGTTAACCGCGGCAGTCAGGGCGAGTTAATACAATTCCAATTTCGACCTTCATCACATTCCTTTATTATAGGAGAAGGGAATGGAGGGAATTTTTTAGGGCATGATTGTATATAATTTGTACAGTAAATATCCCACTCAAAATTCAATTTTAACTCAACTTTAACTCAACTCCACTATCTCCAATATTATCAATATAATTAAATAATATCAACCAATCATTCTTATACATCACATCAATTTTAATTCACTATTCACCCACTCACATAATTTTAACTAACTATAACTTCCAATCATTTTCTCTTACTTTTACATCAAATCAACTTTAATTATTTTACTTTAAATATTATTTTAATATATCCACTAACAATTAACCATACTACTTTTTTCAAACTTAACTATAGTTCAAAAAACTAGTTTTTTACTAGTTGAATTCATATCCAATCACCCCCTTAATTTTCTCTTGTTTGGTTCAATTTTTTTATAGGGGAAGGGATTGAGATTTTCTCTTCTAATCCCTCCTCCAAGAAAAAAACTTCTCCCCTCCAAAAGTGGAGAATTTGGAGTAGAGGGAAAATTTTATCACACAAAATTATTATATTGTCCTTATTATGTGAAATATTTTATTATTTTATTTTTTATATCATTAAGGTATAATTGTCATTTCTACAATATTTTCTTTCCCCACATTGTTCTAACCAAACAAAGTTTAACATTTTCCTTCCGCTTCCCTCCTACAAAATACCTCCAAACAAAATAAAATTATTTTACATCACCTCGCTCCTCTCCCATTTCTTCCATTAAAATCCCTCCTCTCCCCTCCCCTCCATTGAACCAAACATACCCTTAGCGCACTCATCACACCCCTCCCAAAAAAAAAAAGGAGCAGAAAAATGGCGTGTATGCACGATCACAGCTGTGAAGAGCACGATTGCTCCTCCGATTGGTCGCTCTACAAGCACATAGATCTCTCCAAGGTTTCCCCTATTCTGGTCTACTTTGCTTCACATTAGCTTGACCGAATACATTTTTGTTTTCCTCCCGTGATGTAAATTTTAATTTATGATCGTTTAATTTGGGTTATCAGTTCTTGCCGTTGTATCTTTTGCATAATATTATGGATAATCTCGTTTCTCTACATGTGTGGTGTTTTATCGTCGTCCAGGGGAGCTTAGTTTTTCCAACAAGTTTCTAAATACATATACACTGGGCTTCAGTTAGATATCTTTCTCGAATGCTAAGATAATGACTTGATATGCTAAATTTTTTGTTTCGGTTCAAATATAGAGTGCGAGTTTTGCTGATAGAATCTGTTCCATGAGATTTGTGCAGTGCCTTGTTTGTGGTTTAAGCCTTTGGCTTCTGTTGATCAATATGATTCATTTGTAGGTATTTCTATTCCACACATTAAAGTTACAACATAGATTTGTATCCTACTGCTTTCATGTTTCAATGCGAAATGTATTTTCAACATAATCTGCGAAAAAATATACAGGATTCTATTTGCCTTTTATATCAGATGATTAGTGTAAAACAGTGTTTAAGGATGCGCTGGGCTTGTTTGTAACGTTTTTAGTAAATTCTAAGTGATAGCTTTTGTCATCTTAAGGTATCCGCACTGAATGAAGCTGTTTCTGGAAGTGTGAAGTCAGTATTCAGAGCTTGGGAGCAGCGTCTTAACTCTGCCGAGGTTTCCTATGAAATGTGATCTCGTCTGTTTTTNNNNTTTTCTAGTTTGTTTCTTGTCAAGTTTTGGTTGTTTTATTGTCAAATCAATATACATTAATTTGTGCGGACATTTTTTTGTGTGTTCATTTGTGTTTGGAGCGGCAGACAGATGCTGGCATCATCCTTTTGTACTTCTTTTTTTCTTTTCGGAATACTAGCATGTGAGTTACCAAATTTTAATTACAAATTATTGGCTGTCCAGCGTTTGCTTATCATGTAATTCAGTAGTCAAATTTGACCGTGTCTGCACTAGTTGTGTTGATTTGAATATGATTCGCTTATAGGAAATACTATCTCAAATGTCAGGAAGAAGCATCACGCTATCAAAACTATTATTGATGCTTCGTGAATGTGATTCCCATCTTTCTTATCTAATCTAATGTCACTAAACATTCAAATTTTGTCTCAACTTGTCACAGGGTCACTTGGAAAGCAATGACGGTGATCCTGAGTTGATAGTCTTTATTCCGTAAGTATCAAACCTGTCTTAGTCCTTCATGAGACCATAGTGTGTTCCATTTTTTCCTGTTGAGAAAGAAATGGTCAAACAATACCAATAGGCGATATGGAGCTACTTTTGTCTTGTGTCATAAAAAGGCCTTTATATGGTTAAGTTACTTTTGAGTTTTGAACTAACCAAATGTTTTTCCAAACATTCTATGACATGTGATGCTTTGAGATCTGATTGGTGATTGAATCATTTTGTGCTTTGCTGTGAAAGATATTCTATGATCTGTAGCCCGAGTAACAATTTCTAATGAAAAGAAGAACCATCTACTGATTCTTGAGTTATGAAATTCAGGACTAAGTACTTGTTTTTCAATAAAATTCTTATCTTCAGCTAATAGTCTTTGATTTGGCACTCTGTTTTATTGAAAATTTCTGTGTGTTAACTATATTTTCCATTCATCTATGTAGATTTACATCAGATGTGAAGATCAAGAGCATATCAGTTGTTGGTGGCGCTGATGGGACAAGTCCTGCAAAGATGAGAGCGTGAGTTCTAATGATGACTCTGTTTTTCATTATCCTTTATCTGATGATATTTATCCTTAGTTTTGTTATCAAATGGTTACTAAGCTTAGAGTATATCAACTATAAGCTCAAAATTAACTTATCAGCTATCAACTCGAAATTAACTTTTGAGCTATCAGCTAGCTTTTCAGCCAAATCTACCAAATATACCCAAAATTATTTTTATGCTTGATTTTGATGTCTTTGGTATCCCAATTTGTTGACATCCATGACTACCAATTTTCTTTTCTTTTCTTTTCTTTTTACTGCTTTATTTTTATTTTCTGTTATTTGTAGATTCATCAATCGGGAAGGAATTGATTTTTCAGATGCTCAAAACATGCAAGCTGTTCAGGTTGGCTGGCATTGTAGATTTTTCAGGGGATTGTATAACTATTTAGTTGAATGATTTATTTGATCATGTTAGGAGTGGGAATTAGCAGAAAATTTGCACGGAGTCCTAGAATACCAGACCAGGTGATGTTACCTGTCCTAAGGTTTACTTTTGTATTATCTGCATCCTATTCAGTGTTCTTAGATTTAACTAATGTCGTTTTTTATATAGAGATGAGAACTGGATGAAGATGCCACATTTGTGTTTGAAAACATCTAATTCTGATCTCTATAATTTTGTCTCGGTCTTTGGTTTTTTGACTTCTTAATAACGTAAGTAAAGTAATCAACAGATATTCGAAATTTCAAAGTGTTGGAAACATCACTCTGCATTTCCCAGATAATTTTGGAGGCGATACAACTCAGATACATTACATTGGGTTGAAAGGAACAGCAACTGAGGTACTTTTAGGTGTAAAATCTATGTCCATTCTACCGTTGCTCTTTTACCAATTTTAATTTAAATATCTTGCAGCTGAAAAGGGATGTTGTTGCCACAATTGTGTATGAGCTCATGCCCAATCCTTCAGATCACAAGTGAGTTTTCAATGTCAATTAGTCATAACTTTCCGTCTTGCATATGTTGCTTGAGATATAATTACTGTTGAAAATAATTTCAATTCACATCTGAATTTCACCCTGTTACAGCAAACTCAACCCATTTCCTCAAAATCTCAATAAGCCCTTGAAAGTGTGTTAGATAAATACGTCCTTGAGGATTGCACTTACCCTCTTACTGGTGAAATATCTATATTTAATCAAATTCCAGCTAGGTGTGTGTAATTTCAAAACAAGCAAAACTAGAGTTTTTTTTTTTTTGGAAGTCACCACTTGGTTTTTTCGAGTATTAGGGAATGTTAGTTTCAACAGAGCTAAATGTTTGTTTTGTATCATTTACAAGTGACTGTAATTAATTGCTGATTCATGTAAAAAATGCTTTTGTATGCACAGAACCCGGTCAGAGACAGGGGGTGGCCTCTCACAGGTGGAGTAAGTGGATGGATTACATAGCTGGGGCTTCTTCTCTAAATGGGTTTTAATGTTAAGAAAAATCATGTCATGAGATAATGTCCGGCTCTTTGTAACTTGAGAAATATGGCATTGTTTTCGAGAAAAAACTCAATGCATGTACCTTCTTTAGACCATCGCATCTCAAATGCTTTGTTCACATGTCAAAGTTCCATGTTTGTGAGTTTCTTGAAGTTGACTCAAAATTCTGGATGTCATTGCCTCATTTTTCTTTTAAAATTTTGACAAATTCTGGTGATTTTTACAGTGAGTATCAACCCTGTTGATAACTTTGCTAAGTTGAGTAATAAAGTTGAACGTCGATAAAGATAAGGTGTAATTGTCATTGGCCTAAGAGTTACTATGGTTGCCACAAATGTGTATTTTCGTTCCATCTATCTATAGCACTGATGCACATTTTTATTAGGTAATTATAGCCATGGTGCCGCAAAAATCCAAAGAATCAAAGCGAACGTTTTTATTCTGTATTAATTATCCAGGGTCAAACTAACATATGGAACACTATTTATTTGGATAGTACTGATATGGAGCCAGCCAACAGCCAATGGGACAATTCCATGTGGGGTTGTCTTGCATGACTCCAATGTGGGACAGCCCCACATGGAGCTGTCTCATTGGCTGTTGGCTCCATAACGGAGTCAACAGTTGGCTCCTTAGTATTATTGTTTATTTGGAATGGGTACTTTTAGCTATTAGCATGTACAACACTGGAAAATAAATAATATTGAAATTGATTGTATCAATTAAGGTTGATGCAACATCAACATAGTTTATTATAAATAAAATTATGAAGCATTTACAAAATTTCAAATAATTTTATTATATCACCATAATGGTAATGATTTGTTGATGTTGTCTAATAAAAGTTAAGATATTTTTCAGTGCGCATGGAGTTCCTGTTAGCAATCAGATGCAAGACCATATTTCCCCAATAACGCAACAACTATAGTCAATAATTTTTGTTCGGAGTGAACCATTGTTTATACCAGCCATCCTAGCCCCTATTTAAGATCCTTTTTAAAGGTAACATAACTTTGGAGACTCCACTAAACATGTAGGTTTGATCGGGTAGTCTTTCTTGGTATTGGTTACTAGTTTTCTAGTTTGGCGTACCAAATCCATGTGGGACCCGTGTAGTGGTTGAAGCATTTTCTTGTTGAGCTTGGGCAGCAAGTTCAGGTGAGGTCTGCATCACCATTGCTCTTTGTTTTTCTTATTACATAATGATGAATTGTATTGCAGTTCAAGCTTTTCTTATTACATAATGATGAATTGTATTGTTTTGTATATTGCAGTTGGCTCTGGATTCAAAGAATTGCTACTATTTTCCATGTGGCTGTAAAACATTTAGATCTTTATCTTGAACAAGTTAATGTTACGGAATTATGTTAGGTGTTTGTTACCTAAAGGAAAAACAACACTATCTTCCACAGTTTCTAAAGACAGGCGAAAGACAACCCAAGTCGTAAAACCAGAACAAATACCTAACTAGTTCTAAGAATAATAAACGCTACCCCTCGCCCAAGTAGACAACCCCCAGATTGGACAAACGCGTGCACAGATTAGCTTCATGTGCTACCTCTCTACCAGTTCTCCACGAGTTCAAGTGACTACGAATACTAAAAGCCAAAAAAACCCACACTGACAGCCACTGAAACAATGCCAACATCCAGCAACAGCAAAACTCTGATAAAATTCCCAAGAGAGTCGATGCAAATTCAATATCCAAAATGACAGCACGCTAACAAACAAAAATATACCAGTAAAACACACACAAGCATCCAAAATAAAAATGCGTCAGAAACTACAAACCTAAAATTACCTATACCACACTCAAAAAAAAAAGAAAAAAGCAGAGTAGCAAATAACCCCACAACCCAACTAACTTGGTGGGGAGGCTTTGGCAGACCCAGCAACCGGCTGGGATGGCTCAGCATCAGTAGAGTAAGCCGCTGGCTGAGAATAGCCACCACCATACGGCTGCTGCCCGTACTGCGGATAGCCATAAGCTGGAGGCCTCTGTGCAGCAGCAGCAGCAGCATCCGTCTGAGAATGAGGGTACCCAGACTGAGCATAGCCACCGCCCCACTGCCCATAGCTCGGCTGACCTCCGCTTGTTGGCTTCTGAGCCTGTGGGCCACTAAAACCAGAAGTCGGTTGAGGAGTTCCATACCCAGCCTGTGAAGTTGGAGGTGGGGGACCGTATCCAGAGCCTTGATGAGCTGCCTGGCTTGGGTTTGTTGCATCCCCATATGAAGGATTGCTGCCATCAGCGTTTGCATTATAGCCTCCTCCTCCCTGTTGTTGCTGCCCATCATATCCACCACCACTAGGGTTGTTCACAGGTGGCGGCTGGTTGTACCCAGCTGTGCCTGTGTTGTACCCTCCGCCATAGCCATCTGGACCGTAGCTGACCTGTCCCTGGCTGTAGGCTTGGGCCTGACCGTAATTATAGGCAGAACCATCAGTTTGGCCCACTTGACTGTAATTATAGTTAGAACCTCCCTGCGGGTTTTGAGGAGCACCCGACTGATCCCATCCGGATGTTGGAGGGTAATTGGGGTAATTTGGCTGCTGGTTCATGTTGTACTGTGGAGGGCCAGGGTAATTATAGCCGTAGTTTGGCTGCTGCATGGGTGGGCCCTGCTGATTCCAGTTGGTCGGAGGCCGAGCTTGGTAGCCTTGCTGAGGATTACTATATCCTCCACCCATTGGTTGGTTTCTCATGCGGTTCTGCGCGAAATTATTTTTTTTTTTTTTCAGAATGAATCTATAAAACTGATTCAGTAAACAGTTTACACTGATGATGTGCATGGAGAAAACAATATGATGTAAAGGAAAAGACAGAAGGTCGAACAGAAATATTCAAATAGTGGAGAAACACAATTACAGAAATAATCTTCATATGCCAACAAATAACACTCACAAAAACACAGTTGCATCAAGAGTCAAGACAGAGATTAACGCCCACATACCGTAATAGTGAGATTGTGTTACCGCTTAACTCCTGCAGATGCTCATCCATCTCCCTATTCGGAAAGTGGATGCGTACAAAAAGAGAAAGAAAATAGCAAGATACTATTTCATCTACAGTATTATGTTGTCTATTGCAGAATCTTAGAAGCACTATCATGTGCAAGGGAAATCAATACCAGAGTGGTGCCCAGGAAACACCAACATGAAACAAGCCCATGTTGGTGTCACCAAGTCTCCAACATCTTCTAACCCCTACAACGGCCCCCATAAAGACCATCAGTCACCAGATATAAATTTTAAACCATCATATCCATACCAGAGGTGATAATCTCAAAAGAATAGCTTTACTATAGAACTGATGTTTATTATGTATGTCACGACAATTTCTCAATATTATAAGATATTTCATATGCTGCTTAGTCACCTCAACGGAGAGAATCCACGCAAAACCTGCCTCATAGGAAACAAAAATATCCAGTATCTATTCACAAGCTAACACTGACAGGTAACGAACCAGGATTTCAAGGGCAACTTTAAGTACTAATAAAACCCAAAGAATATCGAGTTGCAATACTGCAATGGAAATTAAAAAGGAAATGGAGCCCCATTCTGTATACTAGAAAGTAAGAAAATGGCCAAACCAGATGCCAAGCAGTAACCACTCCTTGCAAAAAAAGCAGCAAAGGCTGAACGCTTCCATCTGGGGATCATTTTGACTAGGGACGTAGATCTGCACATCTATTGTTCACAAATGGCAAACAGGGAAGGCAGATACAGAGTTCACATAGTTCACAGATAGAGAATAGTTGAATCTAACTTCAAGTGGAAAAATAATAGCTCAACTTACGAATAGATACAAGTTTCAGAAAAATACAACATACAATCTAAATAACACCAACACAGCAAGTCAAATATGATAATACAACTAACACAACCAAGCACATCAGACGTAGAACATAATAACGTCTGCACATGTTTGAATGTTCTAAGAGTAGTTGTTTCCAAGTGAGAGTAGAACATGATAAAAACAAGTTCAGATTAAAAGTAACCCTAATATATTGGAGAATATAAAGACTACACAACACATCAAACGATATGAATAAGTGAGCAGCAACCATCTAACAAACCTCACTGGTGACTTCTTCGACCAACTGTTTTGCGGCTTCAATCTGTTCTCTAGTTCCATCAATCTGTACTGTTCGTTCTTTTGACGTATCACCAGGTGGCAAGTGCAGAGGAATGACCTGTAATATTTGGGGAAGAACTTCAATCATAAAACTTCAATAAGTGCTATGCAGAAAACTACAAATAGAAATGCTCTAAATACATCTTCATGAAATCATATATTAAGAGTACAGACAGAAATACCTGAATACGAGCACCAGTCCTTGCTTGCATATTTTTAATAGTTTCACCTCCTTTACCAATAACAAGTCCAACCTGAAAACAGCTACTGATTGTACCAAAAGTTCTATAGATAAAAACGATCATAGGCAACAACCACTTCTAGAGTACCTTATTGTTAGGGACCATCATAACAAACGGATCAGCTCCGGCTGATTGCCCACCCAGCCTCCTAGAAATCATGCCAGAACCACCAGTATCAGCCTGTCCAATGAACAAGCAACTGTCAGCATAACAGAAGTTTATAAGTTTATAATTGTCCACTGCATAGTTCCTTTTATTTTATTTTTTTTTTAACAAACTTCCTTCACCAGAGTGCTGAACAGAAAATCTAATTACTTGCACAACATGGAAGTTATATATAATGCCTTTTCAACATATAAGATTTGAATAATCATCCCCATATAAGCAACATGTATTCAGTAGACTGTAACTATTTGCAGTACCTCCGAAAGAATATCATTGATCAATTTCTCTGCCTTGGCTATTTGATCCTGAGTACCAGTGATTTCAACAGCTCTAGTGGGAGCATTAGGGTCTGCATCCACATCTCTTGTGACCTGGATCTTTGCTCCTGACTGAGTTTGAAGGTATTTGATAGTTTCACCGCCTTTTCCTATAATGACACCAACCCTTCCATTTGGTACCTCAATTTTCTTGCTTGGACCTGGGTAGCCATATGATGCGCTTGGCGGCGGACCACTAAGACCCAAACCAAGATGCTTCTGACCGCTACCTGCATAAACAAAATACATCAGTTCCATTACCACCCATTGTCTCTCATCAATATGTGACAAGAATAAATATATATCACAACCACACTATATCACAAAAGACATAATATATTACCAATCAACACAAGAGGATAAATAGCAATCTGACATATACTTATAAACAATTATAACAAGCCAAATAACATTATATTCACAACCAAAGAAACAAAAATCATCAAACCTACAACAAACAAACTTTGCCTCAGAAATCACCACTGAACAAGTAAGAAAAGACTCTGCAATAAACTATCAGTGTCGTCAGGCACTATTAACTATTAAGAATCTAATATAGAAAGTTTATAAACCCATTCAAAATTTTGATGTTTGCAAAACATCGCACAAACAACTGGAAACCATAAGCACCGCATAGTCTGGTCTATTAGCTAGTTTATAAAACTAATTACACAGTACACATACAGCTAATAAAACAGAAAAGAATCAACCGCAAGCCAGTAATGAAGCCCAAACCTGCATCGGCAGCATCATATCCGCCGCCAACGCCAGCTCCGTTCTCAACTCTCGCTCTTTTCGATGGGTCGGCGTTATTCAAGAGCCTCGCGGCGATCTCCTGTGCCTTCTGTTTGGCTGCCTCGATCTCGTTCATCGGCGGCGGGACGCTGTTGTAAGAACTAGGCGGCGGGGCGGAGTCAAGAGGCGAGGAGAATCCCGTCACCCGGCGCGCCACCGGAGACGGCAGGTCCTCGTACTTGCGCTTGTTTGAATCGCCTCCTGCGGCCCCGTAAGCCACTTCGTCTGCCATGGTACGGATCTGCTGAAGCGAGATTTTATTCGTCAGAGATGTGTTCGTGAGAAGAGAGGGTTGTAAAAACCCTAGATTTTAGAGCAGTTGGGAATTAGATAAGATGGCGTTGTCATTTATATATGTACATACGTTCTCCGCTCGGGCCGGGCTTAATACCTAGAGATATTTTTCGGGGAGAGTTTNGGTCGATTAATATTATTATTTTTTTTTTCGAAATGATAGAACATTTTATAAATGAACCCACATAAGTACAAATATACAGCACCTATCAGAATGGCACAACTAACAGTTGAAAAAAATAGGAGGAGGAATCCGAATACCGCCTAGAACCGACCCTAGCAACACTAGAAACCAAAACACAACACTCACGACACAACGAACACTACAAACACTACTAAGCTCCCAAAAAAGAGAATTAACGATTTAAGACCAACGGCTCAAACCAAAAACACTAAACTAAGCAAAATAAAGCAAACAAAGAACACACCTAAACAAAACAAAAAACAACTAACACACAAGCCCTTCCATGGTAGATCATCTGAGCCATGCCAACAAACAAAAGTCAACCAAAGAGAGTTCCATGACCTAAGTGACCGCTTCCGAAATTGCCGAAAACCACCTAACTGAAGCTGAAACCCAACCCCAAACCAACCCAAATAGTCGAACCGCCCCCCAGCCACCGGAACACCAAAATCGCCCTCCATACACCCATTGCTCTATATCGGCTATCACCAATAGTTGGATGACAGAAACACCGGCTCCCCTGCCCCAACACTAGGTGTAATGCTGATATCGATAAGATTGCATTAGCATATCTCGACAAATGGTATTATCCATTTTATGGCAGTTGAATATCATTTGAAAGAAAATAACTGTGTTCCATCGTTCTTGTACAATTCTTTGTACAATTCTTCCCCATCATATGCTTCTACCTACATCATTTGGTATTAGTTAATCGGGACGATTCACGATGTCGCCACGAAGTCGAGATGCCGAAATTGACGATCAATTTCAACGTATGGATGATCGAATGCAATTGTTGGATACTCGGGTTGCGGATCTATCTACCGGAATTGACGAAATTCGTCTTACACTGACTACTTTGGTGCGGGATCAGCATGTTAATCGGGATGTCGCTAATGGCCGAGGTGGTCGCGGGGTTCCACGGCCGCCACGGTTTTGGTGGGGCGGCCCGACAACCGCTCCAACACCCTCAGTCCAGCGATAATGAAAGTGAAGATACCTGGTCGGACATCAACCCATTTGTAGAAGGTTTGGCCCGCGACCATGATGCCGACAACCGGCGACCACGGGAGGACGGGTTTTGGGACTCTGTTGTGGACGATAACTGTCGCGCACCAGACGGGTTTCAGCCCTTTGGCAACCCCGACAATAGGTGAGCAGACCACATGCGAGAAGCCGTAGGTCGCGAATTGCCCCGATTTGTCGACCACGAGTTCCGACGAGGTGCCGCCGGCGTTGACAACAGTCGCGGATGGCAGCACCATGGTCGGCGCGATGCCCTAGGTCACGACGGTCTGCGAGGCGGTGATTGTGCGTTCCGGCGAGGGGCTGCCGGCAGGGATGATGCTCGCGGATGGCAGCAAGATGGTCGGCATGGGGATGCCATTTTTTATGATGAATTGGCCGATGTCAATCTGTGTTGTGGTGGTGCTTTTGTTGACAATCGCGGCGTTCCATTTCCTCCCTTTGAGTGTGATTTTGGTGACGGCAGATTTAATAATCTTACTGATAATAATTTCCAAAGCCCAATTGCTAAATTTGGTTGGCCTGGGCATGAGGCCCATTTTCGCAGGTTTGGGGCTGTGGTTGAAGGAATCAATCACTGGGAATCTTCATTTCGAGTTGATCTTCCTGAATTTGCTGGGGGTATGGATGCTTCTGATTTTTTTGACTGGTTGGGAGCCGTTGATTTAGCTCTTGATTGCAAAGGTGTCCCGGATGACCGACGTGTACCCTTAGTGGTGATTCACCTTCATGGAAGAGTGGTTGTTTGGTGTTTACAATTGAAAGGTGTGCGGCATCGTCAGGGGAAGCATAAAATCACGTCATGGTTGAAGTTTCGTAAGTATCTTGAACGGGAATTTTTACTATTTAATTTTGTCCGTACTTTATATCAGTGATTGCAAAATCTGTTATTTCTCGGGTATAAAATACTAGAAAATTACACGGGAATCCTACGAACTGCTAAGTAATTTTTCAGTTCTTACAAATAATCTAAAATAGAAAATTACAATCGAACTGAAAAAATAAATTACAATAGATAAAATCAAATTACAACCGGAAAATTAAATATTACAGAAAGATTTTAGCCGAGGCGAGTAAAACTCTTTCCGCAAGAAGAATACGCCCCGTGTGGCTGCTAACGGTTCAGGCGTAACTTCCCCAAAGATACAACGGCAAACGTCTCTAAATCTGTAGCACACCAGATTTACGAGCTCCGGCGAACTAGAACGGAGTCGAGAATTGAGCACTTAAAAATAGGAATAAAAATATCACTCTTATGTTATTTTGATAACAAATAAATATTTCTATATTTTTCTCTCTGATATTTTTATCCCTTCCAAATTATTTTGGAATGATTTTTCTTCCTTTTTCTTTCCTTTCTTTCTCTGTTTTCTTTTCTTCTCCGTTTTTCTCCCGTCCGAACTCCCCCTATTTATAGGGAATTGAGCATATGGGGGACGTCTTAATTAGGCCAATTGGCCAATTAATTTATGATTAATTGTGGATCTAGATCTGTAAACCAATTTTTTTTTTTTATTTTATTTTTTTATTTTTAATTAACAAACAATTGGGGCGGCTGCATGTGGCACCGCCCCTACACTTTTCTCCAACAAAATCTTCGTCAAAGACAACGTAGTGTGGAGGATTATACTGAGGAATTTTATAAACTCTTGGCCCGGGTAGATATTCGTGAAACTCAGGAAGATTTGATTTCTCATTATATTGGGGGATTGCGTGTCTCTATTCAGGATGTGTTGAATATGTTTACACCGGCTTCCGTTTATGAGGCTCATCAGCGGGCTTTATTGGTTGAGCAGCAGCAGGCCCGGAAGGTGGGCACTTCTTTTACGCCGTCTACAAATAAGCCTCTTGGGACTTCGGGTACCGCAACGTCTGCGACGAAGGCTCCGTTCGATTTGGGTGCTCCTTCTGAAGGCCGTGTGGGTGGCCCCACGATGAGGAGTGGCAATCGGCAGTCTAATGGTCCGTGTTGTTTCACTTGTGGTGAGCTGGGGCATCGCCAGGCCCAGTGCTTTCGAAGGCGAGAGGGTCACGGGCGTTGTTTGTTGAAGAGCCAGACTCGACTGTTTATGATGGTCCTCCAATTTTTTATAAAGAGCAGAAGTTCCAGAGATGCATGTCTCAGGAGACGTGGGTCACGCGCTTATCCTTCGTCGGTTTCTTTTGTCTCCCCACTTCTCTTTCGAGGATAAGGTCCAGTGACACCACCTTTTTGAATCCACATGCACCATTGGTGGTTGGGTGTGCCGTTTTGTCATTGATTTCGGTTCCTACGAGAATGTGATTTCGAACGAGGCTGTGACAAAACTGGGGTTGTTAAGTGAGCCGCATCCGGATCCGTATGCTCTTGCGTGGATACAACATGATGATTCTGTTCGTGTCACCCGACGCGTGTTGGTGACCTTTTCTATTGGATCCTCTTATAATGACTTGACATGGTGTGACGTCGTGCCTATGGATTCTTGGCAC